GACTGTTTTCTTGCTTCGCAAATTTCGACCTGGCACTCATGGAAACACCGCCTCCTAGATTTCAACGTCGCTCACAAACAATCGCAAGCGGACAGACACCTCCCGTAGGGGAAGAACTCGCTTGACTTGGCAGTGAACATTAACTCCTCATGTCCCTGGTCACTGGTTTTAATATGACGCCCCGGCCAGAATTCGGTCGCAGGGTGTCCGTCGCGTGCCCAAACACGATCGTCCAGCCCCGCGAGGCTTGTGGGCGCCTGCACCATGCGCCCGCGTGGGAGCTCATAACCGCAGATTGTTGTCTTTTGGACGACTTCACGCGTAATGCTAATGAGTACATGGAGGCGCATGCATTCGAGATAGATGGCCTGGAGGAGAGGCAACTTGGCAAGCTTGAGTATGTCAATATACTTCTTCCCGTCATTGTCCTTGACGATTACTGAATCTGCCTCCTTCCGCGCGGCTTGGAAGAGCTCTGGATCTTTCACGAGCTCAAAGATGGCCCAAATGGTGATGGGAATCGAATTCGAGTTGAGACCAAACAGCACCAACAGCGTGTTGGCTGCAAGACCTTGTTCGGAAAAACCCGCTGACTGGCCAAAAGCCGTGACAGCGCGGTGGTATCGGCTGCCCATGGCCGGTTCCCAGTCAGGGTCTTCGACGCTGCCATCGGGACGTACAATCTTGGAGCCGTCGAGCTTCGTCTTGGCGAGAGCGCGTTGAAGATGCTGCTTGAGGAGGGCGTTGATCTCGTCTCTGACCCGGGCAGGTCGCGGATCCCACCAAGCGGGTGTCCCGTACATGAGGCTGAGTGCCACGCTGTCGAAAGTCCAAAACCTTTCCACCAGGTCTGGGTTCGTCTCGACAATTTCCGTGCCGGTCACTGCTCTAGTGGCTGCCAAGGCCATTTCGCGCTTGATAAAGTCGATGAGACGAGCGCTTTCCCAGCGACCGATTGTAGGTACTGCCTTTTCGATTCCTTGGTCGAAGAATTTTCCATACCATCGCATCAAACCGATTGTGGGTGTTGTTTGCCCGAGCAGAGAGTGGACAACCTGAGTTTGCCGGTGCCAAACCCTTCTGCTCAGCAGGAAAGTCTTCCCAGCCTTTTCCTCGGCGTGGTCCCGCGAGCTGATCCGTCTCTGTTATAGATGGCAATATCATCCTTTGTCATTCCCATGACGTGCTCGAATATCTGAAGGAGAAATTTGTCCGGCGACAGCACGTCGGCGTTGCGGAAGAGAGGCCGCACAGCAGCGGGCCCACGCACGAGGGTGATGGGTATTGGACCGATAAAGAAGGTGGCGACGCTCGTTGACGTGCGATTGAGAAACAGCGAGACGCGGTCGAGGAAGTCCGCAGGATCAGTCATGAAGGCGATGGTGTTGGAAACGAATGGGACGCGTTCGGGGATGCGGGGTGGTCTGCGTCTGCTCGGTCGAAGAGCTAGAACCAGGACGACAATGGCAGCGATGATTGTCCATCGTTGGGTCATGATGTCGACGGCGAGTGTTGCGCAAATGCGCATAATGTCCGAGGCCATGACGAGCGGTAGTTGTGTACGGTAAAGTTATCGAATTGTACTCGAAGACGGCTTTTGTCGAAGACGGCTGGATGAAAGATTCAGAAGCCCAGTCAAGACCTGAATGGGAAACACGGGTGATGCTCACGTTTCTTGTTCCCTCACCGGCCGGTGGTGCAGCTTGCATGGAGCTACGCCCAAAGGAGGTCCTGCAGGTCGCGTCCAGCGAATCGCTTCGTTTGTAGTCATCGCGTCTCCCATCGGGGGGGTGATGGCTTATGGCGTAAGGTAGACTGGATGAGATAACGTGTAGGGTGGATGTCTGTTGGTGGCGAGGAAAGAACAGTGCGAGGGGTGTGGAAGTGGTCACGGCAGGAGCGTGTGTCACGGGGCCAGCAGATGGGACGCACCCTGAGCGAAGCTAATTGCTTGAGCAGCAGACTACCTAAGCAGCAGAGAATTCAAAGCCATGTTGTGCGGTAGTGTCCATGTATTCGCCGAGCGTTCAAATGCCTGTGCAATGACGGGAGCTGGAGATACGGCCGGTCCTTCAGGCATGTTCACAATCACAGAGGACGTCTGTCTGATATTCGACAGAAAAATGGGATTCATAGGCAGTTTTCATTATGCCACCGGTTCATAAACGACTTAATCAAGAGCAACAAGGGCCGAACCAATACAGCGCTGTTCTGCACCGCTCCTTACCCACCAACATGTGCTGTCCGGAACCATGACGCATCATCTGAGGCGATACCACTTTGCTATTTCCATCAGTCAGCAATGTTTGACGAAACTTTCGAGACACCATCTCACATTTCTTGGCCGTCTGCGGTTGAAGTTCTTCTTTATGTCTGTCAATGGTGTTTGCAGACTCAAAAGACGGACGCGGTTGTTCTCGTGCTGCAGGTTCGTCTTGCTGCGGCTTGGACGCGCTGAGAGCAGTGACTGGCAAGGCGAAGCCGAAGCCAGAGATAGCAGCAGCTCCTACGGGGAGGCTGCCTGTTGCGATTTGTTGAGTAGGCTTCTTGTCGGTCTTCTTGTAGACCGGGGGAGGGGGGTAGCGGGAGGCCATTGTGAAAGATAAAGTACGAGGTGATGATGCTTGTCCAGATGAGTTTGGTCTTGACAGAGAGCCTGCAAATATGGAAACAAATGGCCGATTTATACTTTCCAGAACAATGTTACGTCCCTCTCAGATATTTCACTTACAAATCGTGAACATGTCTGAAAGGTGACGATGCTCGCTCAGCAGGGCCTGATTCTCCGAAGCTTCTCCATGCCGCCGCCCAATCTAACTCGCCCAAGACGCCCAAAGAGGTCAAATCGAGACCAGGGCGGCCTTGACGGAGTTTTGCACGCTACATCCGTGGCTCAACACCGGCTATACTGGCGAATCAACGGTTGGTCTGGACTGTCTCTGCGGGGTCGCTGGCCAGCCCGCCAGGATGGTTCCGAAGTCACAGCTTCGAGGATCGTCCCTCCGCCAAAGTCTTGGGCCGGTTCATCGGTCCGCATACGCTGTCATGATGGAGGAGAACATCCAAGATTTCGAGTAGCCGGAGAATCACCGATACCTCGTGCAGGAGAGCGGAGTTGCCGTAAGAGGAAGGCGGCTGGGCGTCTCCCTCGAGACTCATGACCTTTATTTATAGCGACCTGGCTGACGCACGTTTCAACAGCAGCTCTTCACCATCAAAATGACCTCGTACGAGTCCCTCACGTGGCGCCAGGCCTCACCGGGCATCTGGCAGCGCGGCATTGACGAGATTGAGGAGTTTTACTCGACCATGGGAA